AAATGATGCCAGCGATTTGTCACCTCTTTGCCGCACGAGCGACAGCGCCACATGGTGCCTGGATCACGGGACGGCGTGAACATATTGTGATACGACATCTGATGGTGCATATTGTGTCCTGAACTTCCCATATTTCCTGTAGCCGGGCCAAGGGTATGCAGTTGATTTAGACTTTGATGGTGTGCCTGGTCGTTCTGATGGTGTCCGCCATTGGCGCCTCGCATAATATTCTCCAGAAGATATTCATTTTTGATAGCTGCATCAAATTGTAGGCCATACGTCGCTGCCGGATGTGGTGGTGGGGAGTCGGACAAAGATGAGGTCCTCGAGAATGACGATCTTCGAAAAGAGGTTCTTGACATACGTCCTCGGGGTGCTGTAACCAATGAAAAAAGAGAACACACACCACACAGGGGGGGAAAAGTTGGTCAGCCCAGAGAAATAAATATAGTGAAAATAGGTCTTATGTTTAATTTTTTTTAACTAGTTAGGTATTTATATTATTATGTGTATAATAGTTGTTGTTGTAACATATTTTTTGTCTGTACTTTTAGTTGTTTCCGCTATACGTGTATAATTGATAAAGATAGTGAAAACAAAATCTAACCAACAAAAAACATAAACTAAAAGATTTCAAATGCCACAAGATCGACAAAAACAACTTGTTGTTAAAATAAACATTGAAAAAAAATTATCTAAAATAAAATAATATAACTAAATAAAAACTAAGTATTAGCTTATAAAGCAGATTCGAAGCTATTTACGTGTATATTATAAAAATACGCAATAATTCATAGAAAATTATATGTTTGTATGTATAAATAGGTAGGTAGATGGGTAGGTAGGTAGGGAGAGAGAAAAAGAGAGTGTATGTGTGTGAGATAGAAAAAAGGGCACTTAGAATAAGAAAGAGAAAGACAGAAATTGTGTAGTCAAAATATGGAAAATAGAACTTAAAAAAAAACAACAAAACTCTGTATCTATATAAAAAATACAATTTTTGGAAAACTTTCAATTAACTCAAGACTTATTTTAAAAATAATTTCTGAAATGTAAATAACAACTTTGTTTCCAAAATCCCTCAACCTTATCGGATATAAAGCGATATTCTCAAGCACGTTAAAGCCTATTTTCTACAAACTTTTTTTGTATTATTTTTCACAATGACTCTCAGCCTTTTCACAGTACAATCCAATTTTTCAATAAAAATTATTAAAATTAACTATAAAAAGGTTATCAAACTAGATATGGCATAATTATAGAGGAAAGTCTCGTGTTGCAAAATCCGCAGTAGTTGGCACCGTCATCCACCTTTTCTTCTTTTATTTTTGAAGGTCAGACACATCAAGTTGACACAAAAAAATAAATATCTTACTTTCTTAGATTATAGAAATGCAGAAATGCTAGAAATGGATTTTTAAAGCTCGAATTCAATTATTTTGATGCAACATAGATCTGTCTTGATATATTTTCTTTCGTAAACTCAATTTTGGAAAAACTATATTTTTTCTTTTTGCATAAATAACTTTCTTAAGTGGATGATTTAAATTCGTAAATACAGAATTTTCAAAAAAACTGATATTTGCACAAGATAAATATTTATAATTATGCCATGCCAAATACACACCGTGGCTATAACAAGTTGCCTTTTTTAAAATTGAGATTTAAAGCCATCGACTTTATAAGTTTTAAGGATAAAACAACAAACTATTGAAACTGCTCTGAGAGAACTAATTTATTAAGCGAGTTGAAAGTAGTAAAACATTGTAGAAGTCTGATACTCTGGGTCACATCTGTATCATTCTTCGAAATTTTGCAGATAAACTCAGAAAAAATGAAATAAATAAATTAAGATTTTTACTCATAATGATTTTTGTTAAATTTAACAATTGATATGAGCTTTTGGCCCTGAAAGTGTGGACAAATAGTTCTACAATTTATAAATATTCCAAAATGTTGGATTCTTCAAAACTATAATTTAATAATTTTCTCACATTTTAAAATACATTTCAGAAAATCTAAATTGAGAACAAACTGAGACCACCTACAGAGTGAGATGAAAACACCAAAGGTGACCAATTCGACCAAATCTAAACTTATTATAAAATTTGATGCTATTTCCTACATTTTCTACTTTCATTCAATAAAATTTAAAAAAAAAATGTAAAAATTATGGCGTTTGACTTTGTTGCAGTTTTTTTTTTATCTCACCCTGTATAAAGGTTAATCAAACTCTATTACAATCCTTCAGTGTAAATACATGTGCTAGTACTTGGGACTTAAGGAGTTGAAGCCGAATATTTTCAAAACGTATTTGCATACAATGGAATCACTTTGCAGTACTCATTCATTACTTACATTCCGTCGTGCAACGTATTTATTTATAATAAAATCTGTTTAATTATTTTTTGTTAACAGTTAAGGTGGGAGAGCAATTTGAACGACATGCACGGTATGCCACCACACGTAATTGTGTTATTCGATTTTTAATGAAAATTTAAGAAAGTCATGGCTCGTTTATTTTGGCCTTCCATCTTTACTGTTAATAGGACAAACAATATTTAAGAAAAAAAACATAGGAAAAATGCCTCCGTTCATATTTTTATGTAAGTTATCTTCTATATAGGTGCCTGTGTGTGTAATACTTAATTCAAAACTTTGCTGATAGATTCGCGAATTAGTTATGCCCGCTCAATGGCATAGCTAATATATAGAGATTGCATGTATTAGTCACAATAAATATATTTGTGTTCTATATATGTGTATGTAGGTATGCATGTGTATGTAATGGAGCCGTAAATATGAAACATAAAATTTTTTACAATATGTTCGCACATAGTCGCATGTCGGGTCCGTTTAAGAGTCGAATTCTAATTTTCAAAAAAGTTTTCAATTTTTGGGTGTAACATATGTGCGAAACTCACTAACATTATACATACAATAAAAATAAATAGGTATATTATAAATTAAATAAATAATGTGTGTGTGTTTGTATATGCTTACCATTTAAACAATTTGTATTGTATGTACTTACTCTAAACAAATAAAATTGAAATAAGATTAAAACAAAATAATTAAGAGAAGTAACAAAGAAAAAACAAATAAAATTACAGGAAATTGGGCCGAGATTAATATTTTTTTTTGTGTTAAAAATTCAATTGGTATTTCAATATTTTATTTGGGAATTTGTTGAATGGATGACAACGACGATAGTAACCTCATGTTGGAAGCACAATTATCGAGAATCAAAGAGCGACCGCCTAATGCCTGTCGTATGTTTCAACCAATAAATTGAAGAGAGACAGACAGAGAGAGAGAGAGTGAGAGTGAGCAAGAGCGAATAAATAGACCAGAGGAGTAACATCTTTCATTTTTTTGATTTATTTCCAAGAGATAAATTCATTTATTTTACTTTTGCTGTTGTTGTTGATATTTTTATAAATATTTCATCGTGTGTGTGTATATATTTGTGTAAAATTGTTTATTTTCATTTCTGAAAACTGTTTTTTTATTTTCTTTTCAATTAAAGTATTTTGAGAACATTTTCTGGACGTTACTTAAGTTTTAGTTCTGTCTGGGTTTTGGTTTTTCCTTGAATTCATACCACCAGGTTGGCAGGCACAGCTTTTGTTGCCTTGATGCTGTATCTGTGAATAACAAATGCTCGCATGTTTTGTTGGTTGCTAGTAATTTAATTTTTTTTATTTCTTTACATATTTTGTTGATTTTGTTTTCGTTTTTCGTTTTTTTTTTTTCAGGGTTTAATTTCAAATGTGAAAATAACTTATTGGTAATTCATTAATAGTTTTTCGTATAAATAAAACCTTAACTATGTTTATAAAAAAAATAATAATTTCAGTATAGTTTTATGTTATAAAAAATTATATAAATTAATAACAGTACAAAAATTTATTTATGCCATTTTTGTTGTTGTTGTTAAAAAATGAAATAAAAAAATTAATATTTAGCTTAAAATATTGTTTTTGTTTTTGTATTAATGCATTAATTATAAATGTGTTTACTGTTAATAACAAAACAATGTGTTGCCGTTTGCAATAGATTAGAGAAGAGAGAGGTTTTGGAGTGTGCCTCCTTAAGCTTCCTCTTGTATGTATCTGTAATTTGAGTGTGTGTTTGTGTAGGTTTGTGAAAAAGTTTTTTATTTTTATTTCATTAAAATCAGGTATTAAAAGTCTTGTTTTGCAAGTATAAATTTAAATGTTTACTAAATTAGAAATAGAAAAACAAAAAAAATAAAAAATAATATTTACACACATTTATCATTATCGAAAAGGAAAATCAACTCAAGTCCCCGTTTTTATAAATATGATTATTATTTCATCTGCCACTTTAGGGCTTCCAGTTCATTTTGCATTTATGACAATAGATACATGCATGTAAATTTTGTAATTGTAGTTGTATTCTGTTGTTGTTATCTTAGTAGCTAAATGAAAGATAAAAAAATTGCACAAATTTTGTGTTATTCATTACAACAGACACGTTGAGAAGTGAAACAAATAGTTCAACAGTTTAGTAATTAATAAAAAATGAAGAGGCAATCAATTTCTTCGTTTTTTTTTTTTTTTTTTTTTTGTACAAATAAAAATAAAAAAATACAATTAAAATAATAGTAAAATAATTTATTCTGTTTGTTTGTTTTTTTTTTTCTTTCTCTTGAAGTTTGTTTTCTGTTCCTATAGGCTGATTATTATTTCAAAAAGAAAACTAGTTTTTTTATTGCACATACGTTTTTGTTTCCACAACATTTGTTCACTTGCCTGTCTGACAGTTGTTGTACATCCAGCTGGACACTGGCTGTTCATGTGTAGCTAATTACATATTCTTCTGCTTCTTTGTCATCTCTTTTATACTATTTCCATCGTCTTAGTCAGTGTATTCTTGTTCTGGTTATTTGGATTTAGCACCTTGATTTCATTGTTTCTAACAATTTTTTGTCACTACATTTTTTGTTTACCATAATTATCACATTCGTCTTCTTCTTCTTTTTCTTCAAATTGAATAGGAAAACACGAAACAAAGTCTGTTTGTTTATTTCGAGTTTTCATTTCATTGTTGTGCACCAAATAATTATTAGTTTTGTTTTTAGTTTAATATATATGTATATGTGTGTATATAGAACTACTAAAAACGGTAGCTTAAAAGTCTAACAATCAATTATTTATTTTTTTGTTTAGTTTTGTTTTCTTTTGTATGTTTGTAAACTAAAAAGACATCTATAACGTATATTGATTAGTAATAAAGTATATAATATGTATACATATATATTTTTAGTTTTACTTTTTTTTGTGGAAATATGTATTTACACATCACTACTTAGGATAGAAGTTCTGGCATAGATTGTATGCAAGTGAAGGAGGCGGATTTTGGTAGGTAATCATAAAATGGCAATCTAGTTGTCGAAATTTGGCAATGTCGGACAGAAGACAATCCAAAGTTGAAGGAGGGGTGATGGTGTCATAGACTTTTCTCTGAACAAACCGTCGATGCAAAAAAACCGCGATTTTATCTACTACACTGTCTGGGGGGTGGGGAGAGATTCAAGAATTTGGCAATAAAAACAACGAATTGTGCATAATTGCAAAACATTCCAACAAAAAAAGGTAAAAATATATTTTCAAATGGTACAAAAGAAAAACATACTAATTATTCTTGTACAGGGTGAGATGGAAAAACTGCAACCACAAGTGGCAATCGTTAGAGCACTCCAGCATTTAAATGTAAATATATCTTTTGTGTCTTATACCATCGCTCGTGTCCGTGATACTGGTAGCACTAGGAAGTGGACGGAAGAAAACAGCAACATCAGCAGAAATGGTTCGAAAAGTAAAGAAGCAAGCCGCTTCACAGTGGCCGAAAATTGGCTCGTGGGCTGATCATATCGCAATATTCCATTCGGCAAACATTGAAAAATGAGTTCGGGGTAAAGCCATTGAAATTCCAAAATGTGCAAGAACTTACACCGCAACAGAAAGAAAATAGACACAAAAGAGCTAAAGAGTTGCTTCGCTTGGTCGAAAGTGGTGAACTGCCGAATTTGGTTTTCTCCGATGATACAACATTCGTTGTCCAGCAGTTTTTAAACAAACAAAATGATCGTGTTTACTTGCTAAAGAGGTCAGCGAAAATATGCAGAGCTCAAGCGCCGGCCATGGTGATGATGTGGGCCGCCTAAACAGCCGATGGTCGCTCTCCGCTCGTATTAATCGACCATGGCATCAGAATAAATGTCGAATATTATCACGAAAATATTATGGAGGGTGTATTAAAGCCTTGGGCATTAAAACATTTTGGCCGAAGACCTTTTACATTCCAACAGGACTCAGCACCATCGCACTCAGCACGCGCCACCCAAGAATGCTTACAAAATGAGGTTCATCGCTTCATTTCCAGCGCGCAACGGCCACCAAAATCTCCGGATACCAAACCGTTGGACTATTATGTCTGGAGTATTTTGGAAAGCAAGGTTGGCACTAAGTGTCAATCACCTCAAGCAAGCGCTTCTCCCGAGAATGGGTCAAAATACCGTAGAGCATCATTCGGGCAGCGTGTGGCGGTTTCATTAGCCATTTGAAGTCCATAATTCGTGCCAAAGATGACTAATTCGAAAAAATCTAAACTTGTTTTAAAATTTGATGTTATTTCCCACATTTTTTGCTTTCATTCAATGAAATTAAAAAAAAATGTAAAGTTTATGGCGTTTGCCTTTGTTGCCGTTTTTTTATCTCACCCTGTATAAGAAAGACTCAAGTTGGAATTTTAAAATATGACATGAGGCTAAGTTGTTTTTAAAAGTTGTCTAATAAGAGTTGTGTTTCAGAACCTACAGTAGAGTAATATATTGTACCAATTTTAGAACTTTTTACTTCAGACCCGTTCCCGTACGCGAAAACCTAGTAAAGCTTGCAAGCAACTGAAAGATTGAGGATTGCCACCTAATTTGGACATTTTCATTAGTTTTCCGTTACAACAGTCTCTGGCGAAGCGGTTCTCTTAGAGCGAATGTAACATTTCTCTCTTTTACTTCTTTTATCTGTAAAAAAGAACAGGAACACAACAAAGTGACATACATATGTCATTTCTTAGTGTTGCACATCGGTAAACATGCATAATTGGTGGGTATACTATTAGGCTGAAAGAGACTAAGATCACTCAACTTAGTGCTGTGAGAATTTCAAGTATGGATGAATTCTAAAAAAAATCATAAATTATTTCATTAACACAAGTAGCAATTGAAAGAACGACCAATCAATACAAAACTGGCAAACATAGAAATATCTAAAGAAGAGAGCGAAAGTCCTTTTTTTTAATTATCCTGGCACCATAAAAGTTATAAGAAAAACGTTTTAGTTTTATTGAGAACTTCAACAAATATTTTGAATCTGGATTTGTGCTGTGGTTTAGGTCCTGGCAGAAGAAGAAGAAAACAATTCTTAGTTACTGGACAATGTTGTATTCAAGTGCAACGATTTCGTTTTCAGATTTGACACATTCCCCCCAAAGAGATGATGACAGACAATGCAACTGGTAGCAGAGCGGAGTAGTGGTAGTAGGATGAATGATTGATTATTAATGTCGCTTTCGACATTAAATTATATTCAATGTTAAAATAAACGAAAATAAAAATATTTATATGTGTATATAATAATAGTCTTATAAATAACAAAAGTTGTTTTTGTTTTTGTTAATTAAAAATATTTTGTACACTTTTTTGTTTAGTAATAAAAATTGTAGTACTTTTAAATTAATTATTTATCTCAAATATTAAAAGTAGTAAAGTCAAAAACAATTTCTATACATACATATATATGAAGTGGGAGGGGGTGGGGGTCAGGGATACATGTGCTATGTTTTACACAAAAAAAAAAAAAATAAAATAAGAAGAGGGGGCGGGGTGGGGTAATTTTGGCGTATTTCTTCTACTTTTTTATTTTCTTTTTTAAAAACAACAATGTTGACAACACTTCTTATTTTTTTAGTAAAAATCGAAAAACAAACATTTCTTGCCAGTCGGTATCAGAAGAAATTCTAAGATTGGTTGCACACACACATTGACACAACGACTTTTCGAGAAGTTCGAAACGGATGCTAGGTAGGAATAAAGTGTGGAACATTTCTGGTTATACTTAATTTTTATGTATAAGACAAAACAAAATCTCATTATTTCTTTTTTTGGCAAACATTTGATAAGGTTAAGGTTCCACTTTTATAAGAGTTTGTATGTGTGTGTGGGGGGTTTTTGTGCGAGTATATTTTGAAGGACAATACGAATCTAACATTAGGAGGCATATTTTTTCGAATATAATCTATTGAATTTACGTTCTGGTCAGGTTTTTGTTGTAGTTGTTTTTCTTCAAGGGCAAAATTGCACTTTGCTAAATCTCCGGTGTTATTTCTTTAATAATTTAGTATTTTTTGCCATTCTTTCTAACAAACAGTAGTTCTTTTTTGTTTTTGGAACATTAAATGCATACATCGTCATATTGTGTGAATGGTAGATACATAGATAGTTTGAAAGATTGTGGATACATTGTACATAGATATCGATCGAGTGATTGATTTAAAATATAATTTTTGTTATTATTACAAGTTGTTATTGTTGTTATTATTAAATTTTTGTGAGTTTTTATAACTTTCTGTAATTGTTTGTTTGTTTGTTTTTTTTTTTTTTTGTTTTGTTTTTTTGGCAACATAAACATTTACATACTGGTAGTTATATGTGGTGTATCTTAAGAAACCGTTGCAAATTAACACCCGCTCTTGTGCCATCCACCATATTCACCACAATCAACATGAAACCATTTGACATCAATTCACACGGTCGACAGCGATCGCTCTCATTTGTACCAGCAGCCAAGTGTGCGAGGGAGAACGTGACTTTTTTTGAGTGTGAGAGAATTTTTGGGTTCTACTTAGTGTAATTTCTATTTTCTTATCCTTGGACAAATGACGAGTTTTATTTTCGGAAATACATTTCAAACCGTCTTTGGACATCTCCTCAATTATTTGCCGCTTGGGGTTGGGATATAAATTTATCTGTTATAATATTCGATTTGTTGTTGTGCATTTCAGTTACTCCATTGCCATGGATCCGAGTTTCAGTTTCTTCTTTTGTTCTCTTGCTAAGCAGGGATGGTTCGTTCGGTGAGTCCTTAATTTTGGAAGTACCATTCATAGTTGACTTGACGTTGGGCGCCAACTTGGCTGATAAAATCTGCGTTGATAGTGGAGTCGGTGTTAAATTTCTCCGATTAGTTTCGTCGTGTTCTTCGTCCACTTGGTCGTCGTCGCCGTCGTCGTTATCGTCACTATCAATTAGACTGTGAATTGGAATTTGTTGATGAAATGCTGGTTGCGGCTTTTCTTTGCGATTTAAAGGGAGTGGTTTGGTGTAGCCTAAAAATGGATCAGTTGCCAATGACACCGTCGTATTGTTGTTCGCCATGTAATGGTTATAGTATAAGCTTTTCAGAGATGTTTGCGTTGCCGTGAAATTACTGCTGTCGAGGTGTAACCGCTGCGTTTGGTGATGCAATGTATCTTCGGCATTCCAGGCAAAGGGATTGGTTGCTGAAATCGAACCCGACGATGCCGATGACGACGTTGCTAGCTGTGCTGAAGATGAGGCTGACACTACGGTCGGTTGGGGTGGAGGAGGTGGCGGTGGTGCATATGTATTTCCTAGGATATTGCCATAATTCCAGTTGAAAAAAGATCCGTATCATTCATTTGTGGCATTGTGCGGCTGTGACTGTTGGTGACCCACCGTCTGCGAAATCATTTGAGCAGCTTGTTGTTGCTGTTGATGATGCTGCTGCTGTTGAATTTGCTGCTGCAAAAGCTGTTGCGTTTGTTGTGTCAAATTGTGGGCGTGCTGTTGTAATTGCTGCTGGTGGTGTTCTCTTTGCTGTTGCTCTCTCTGTTGTTGCTGTTGGGCGGCATTAAAAGCCGCCGCGGCAGCAGCTGCTGCCATGGCTGCTTGTGACGCCGCCGCCAATTGGGTGGGAGTGGGCGATTGTGTCGCTGTAGCGGCCGCACCTGACATCATATTTTCAAACTTTCTCGTATCCGGATTATACATCGGGTGCTTGAATTTGCAATGTGTCCTCAGGTTGTCGCTGCGCGTATAAGTGGCCCGACACAGCGGGCACTCAAATCTCCCCGGAAAGTGGACATGGTAGTGATTACGTATGTGCGTGACCACCTTTCCGCACAATTTGCAGCGATGTAGATTGCACCCACCAGACAGACGCTCAAACGTCAGCCGCATATGCCAGGCTTTGGAGCCTTCCGCCCGAACATTTCGAATCGAGTTCGTTCAATACATGTATTGAATTTTATTTAGTGTGACAGACAATCGAATGTTATTACAGTTTGTTTTGTTTGCGAACAAATTGCACACGCAGAGAATAAAAAAGAAGAGAAAAACATTGTTTTTGTTGGTGATTCACAAGAAACAAAACGTTAATGTAGTAGAGTAGTTAAGTAAGAGGAAAATCTTAAATTCTAATGCTTAACGCTATTAAAGGCTGATGTGAGTGTATTAGGTCCTACAGAACACCAATTCGAAACACTTGCGGTGAAATTGCATATCTCTCCGAAAGAGTTTCTGTTCAATTCTCTCTCTGAAAGTTGAGCATAGAAGAGCTGAGCCGAATTATGCAACTGAGTGAGACCGAAAAGCGTCGGCACTCAGCGTAAAGGCAGTCACGGCTGGTTAGTTAGTACTTGACAAGCAATCAAAGTGTTTGCATGCCAATCAATTTTTGTTCTCAATAAATTAAACAATTCGTGTTTTTGTTTTCATCGCAACAAATTCTGTTACACCCAAAAAGTGTGCCTTCAATTTGAAAAAAAAAATTAAGAAAACGGCAATAAATATATACCATAATAGGAGGATCTTCCTAGGACCAGTAGGTGGGTTGTTTGGTTGGTACGTATACTGTTCTGTTGGTATTAAGTTTAGATGTATGTATATCGAGACAATTTAAATAAAATATTGATGTATGTAGTTCTTAAAAATTAAAGTTATTTACAAAAGTGATTTATTACAGATTTAAACCATCTCCATGAAATGTTCTTAGTTTTTTGTTTTTATCGTTATAATTTCTATTTTGTAACCATAGTATTGTTAAACAAAAAGAAACATGATTGAAACTAGGAATGTATGTAGTAATGTAAAGTAATTGTACCAAATTAATAGTAAATCCGACTGGGTACAGCATTAGGTGTAATTTTGTTTTATTGTTTAAGTTTAATTAATTATTTTCATAAAACCCAAACCAAGATTAGATTATATTTTCGAGTCTTTTTTTATATTAATTTAATACAATTTACAAAAACAATGTTAAAATCGTTTGAGAATAGTATAACATACGCTGGGACGTAACCTACGCAATTAGAGACACTTAGAAATGAAGAAATGTTAACCGCCGTATAAACAAATGAGGAGGTTTATTCTTGTTTCACAGAGACAAAGAAAAAGAGAGAGAGATATATGGAGAAAGAGAGTAAAAGAGCGGAAAATGCAATATGTGATTTAGAGATGGGGAGTTCATTTGGGATTAAAAGGACAGAGCGTATGTTTATGCCAGACAAAGAGTTTTGAGGGGTTAGGAATTGATTTATTATTATGACCCTGGACTGAAATAAAACTCAATAAAGGTTTTGCAACATAAGTACGTTTGTTTTGCAGCACATTTTATCTATAATACTGAAAACTTTTTTTCAACACCCCTCCTCCTCCTCTTCCTATAAAGATTTCGATGCAAATCAAATAAAAATAGTCATTGATACAAAAATAATTTGAAAAAAAAGGAACAATATATTTTTGCTTTTTTTGGAGATTAACGGCCAATTCCTGTAATTTTATTTGTTTTGAATTTGTACTGAAAATAGATTTTATTTAATGTATATATTTTTTTTGGGGTTTCGAAATTTGTCATTGTGCTAAACACTATAAATTGTTGATTTTAAAATAATTACATACATATACACATAAACTTACCGTCATGAGTTTGTAACTCTATTCATTTTTTATGTTGGTGGTGGTGGGTGAGGAAAAGTATAATTTTAGGAAATAATATTAAATAAGTTTTAATTTTTTTCAAAAAAAAAAAAAAAAAAAAAAAAAAACAAGAATTGAATACGAAAACATGAAATGTGACGAACGAGGTAGGTAGTGTAGAAGAATTAAAACACAATTTTATTTTGTTTATTTTTTTGTTTTTTTTTTTCTTTTTTGAAATTGAAAGAAGTTTTATTTTAATTGTTTAAAAGATGTTGTTTTAAATATTTTTTTTAGCATATACTCTTGTATTTCTTTAAATACATTTTTTAATGTTGCAATTTTTATTTATATATATTTATTTTATTGTTTTCTCAATATATATAAATATAAATATGTGTGACTTCTTGTTTTTGGTGATTTTTCCGTTTTGATTTTTTCATATTCATTTATTTAATTATATTATTGAGCTTAACTTTGTTAACTTCCCTAAAAACACAATTACGGTTTCCTTTTTTTACCACAATAATAAAATTAGAATTTCTAAGAAATTCTTTACAAAATGGTTTTCCTCTTTTTGCAGTGTCGCTTAAATAATTTGCTGTTTTTGTTTATTTGTTCAAATAAGGTGGGTTACGTTCTTTTTCTCATACGGGATAATCAATCGAAGATCCTTTTCTAAAATCATAAAAGAAAATCTAAATATTCTGAAAATGGTATAAATTCGTTGTCTAGAAGTTGGTTAAGTACTTCGTTTTTGTGTGAGAGGATGTGTGGAGAACGAGGACGAGGACGAGGGAGACGAACGGGAACTGAAGATGTACAAAAACGGATATACAAAATCTTAATTCAGAGAGACCACCGGATGGATATTTGGATCGAGAAGTAGGAGAAGTGTCGAAAATAATACCTTTATGTCTATAACAATCTCACTCTTTTTTCTTGGCTCAATATCTCAATACCGGAAGTTAAGCTTGTGGTGTTTGTACTCGTTAATAAAGTATTTGTTGATCTTGCATTTTGGAGTGTGCAGGGACAAAGGGCCCGTCTTTAAAGATTAATTTTTTATACTAAATTCCTAGTTACAGTGTGTATGTAGATTTTAAAAATGGTACTACTTCAATAGGTCATCTATCAATATAATGAATATTTTTAATATACTACATAATTTTTTTTATTTGTACATATATTGCTTCTAAAATGTCACCTATGTATCTCCGTGACGGAGAAAGAGAGATAGAGAGAGGGATAGAGTTTAAGTGAGAGAATAGCTAATTGATTATAATAACCCCTTATGAGCTTGTTTTTCTTTTTCTGATTTGTAATAGAAGCGTAAATGTATGTATGTTTGTTCGTTATATATCCTCTTATAATTGGTAAGCAAAAAATCACTAGGTCTATGTCATTAAGTACTTGGCATTTATGCAAGTGGTAATGTTGATAGGTAAGTAGTTAGGTAGGTAGTTTAGGTAAATATTCTCTAGTAATACTCTATATGCATATAAGACTTCTGCATGTTTGAGCTTGTATATTGATTGCTGCATGTAAATATGGAAATAAATATTGAATTGAACTAAAAAACACAAGGTCCCATTTGATTACGTATATATTTCAAATATGCCTGTATTTAACGGCATACATATTACACCTGCCTGCCTGTGCATGAATGAATATGTATGCCCGGTCTGTTATACCTATATACATATGTGTATGTGTTTATGCGTGTGTGTGTGTGTGTTAGCTAGTTGGTATTGTTCGTTAAACAAAACAAAAGACGCAAAAAACAATCTTTTGGTTAAAGCCATTGACTAACTGATCGGTTATATTTAAGTTCAAATCAAGATTAATATCGAAAAGAAAAACATCTTTCTTTGGTTTGTGTTGGCTGTTAGAGGCATTTTCAGAATATTTAAATTTCAGAATCATCCAAAAATTCGTCAACATTTCTAACTTAGGCTAAGTACAAATAATTGGCTAAAATCAATAAACTATATCGTATGTAAGTGTGTAGGTATGTATGTATGTCTGTGTATGCATGGCAGAAATTAATTAATACACAAATACAATAAATAACAAATAAATAATTAATTAATTTAGTTAATTTAACTACGAGACATGTTAAAATAATTTAAAATAAATTGGAATTTCTAGCATAATACTTTTAAAGTACGTCCTTATATCAAATAATCAGCATCATTATTTATAACGTTTTTGTCGGGGTTGTCCCAACATTACTTTACGTATATAAATTTAACACAATCTCAGTTTCATTTGAAAATTCTTTGATTTCGCGGTTTTTGTTTTGGTTTCCATTTTTGCACTTTGTCAACTAAAATTAAGAGACGGTTTCCACAGCCACATATACAGCAGACAATTTGCTGCCTATGTGTATCTTGGCTGTTTTTTTCTTCCTTTACTTTATCCGTTTCTTTACATAATACTTTGTTTTGTTAGATAAAAATTAAATAAAAGTTATTTTATTTATTTTGTTTAACTTCTACTTGGCTCTAATTTTTACAATACTATTCAGTTTTAATTTGATTTACTTAAGCGGATTTCTTTTGCATTTTTTCTATTTCAGATTTGCTTTATTTTTCATTTTCATTAAGTTAACGGCTACTAATTTACGTTAAGGAAGAGAGAAGAGTGAGTGAGAGAGAGAGAGAGTAAGAGAGATATTAAGAGAAAAATATATGATTAAATACTTGTGAATCTGCTGCTGCTGTTGTTGTTGCTTTTGTAAGTGAACCGGATATCTTACGTTTTCCGTTAATAATAAGAGTTGCTTGGTTATTTAGTTTGTTTTTCTTGTTGTTGTTTTAGTAGTAATAGTTGTCGAGTATATACGAAAGTAGTTGTAGTAGTAGTAGTATCGAATAGTGGTATTATTGCTGTTAGATCTGGTTACTATTTCTACTATTATATCATTTTGTTGCTACCATTGTTTTGACTATAGATTACGGTTTAATTGATTAAATTCTGGCTGATTTGAAGAAAGTAATTCTTGAAGTCAGAACGAGTTAGATATATATGTGGAGAGCGAGAGATAGATAGATATATATTGAAATTTGGAGACACGAAAAACGTTGACTGTTTACTTGACTACATATAAAATTGATCACATATGTACATAATGACTGAAGAAACGATCTTTAATGTCGGCATGCTTAATTTTACAATGGGCTTTCATGTTATCTCGACGCGTGAATTTCTGTCCGCAGACAGGACACTCATGACTCTGGGGCCTGTGGATGTTGGCGTGGTGCCAACGATTCGAGAC